TTAACATTCAAATCTTTAATAATCAAACTTTAATACTTTATGCAAAAGCTGATCTAGAGAGAGAGATACTTACTGTAGAGTTGGAACTTTGGAGGCAGTGGCTAGATTACAGGATCTCAATTGCATGGTTCAAGCTTTCTGGAAATTTCTTAAGGGGTAGAGAGTTCTTTCTCAGTGGCTGGAGAACTGACTTTTCAGCTCCTGACATGGGTTTATATAGCAAAATTTCTCTGTATCCTGGCGAGTATCCAAATAGGACACAGCATCACCCACAAGTAGTGCGGTGCTCTTATTGGATGCTTGCAGGCAATTCCCGGGCTAATCCAGGCACCAAACCAAAACCCCCAGGCTTTTGGTCATGGTTAACTGCTGTTAGCTAGTCGCCTACTTGTACTGCTACACCCATGTACTGTAACTAATACTGCATCAAAGCACCGAGATGATTCATAAAATGTAAACTTTTCTGTAGCTTCTACAGTGCTAAAGAAACGAGACCAACATTCCCTTTTTTTGGTCACATACATTGGCGTTCGTTTCCAGGACATGATGCGTAAGTGATGACTAACGAGGTCGTTAACTAACTCTGCTATTGACCCTGGGTTACTAATCTCCCACGCTCGTTTCTACAGCTTGTGCACGTGCTGTGCTATTTCTTACTGAAGGTCTAATCTCGTTCTTGTTTACTCATTTCTCAAGGCTTATTTTTTAACACACAGGTGTCTCCTTGTCCCCTTTTCTTTTTTTATATCTAACCTGTTTATTCTCTTTTAAACTCTTAAAATCTTCATTTTTAATTATACCTAAAATACTTTCAAATTTATAAAAGCAATGGATGAAATTTCTTCAAAAATTTCCCGTTGCTTCACTTCATCATCATTGTTCCTTCAAAAAGTAATATTTTTCTGAATCAAGATGTTCAACAAACTGCCATTTGTATTAACAAACTGAATGAAACTAACTGCACAAAAATACTGTACTTTTGCAAAATTGTAATCCAATGTACAATAATCACATAATCTGAGTCCTAGTATTTACTCAAAAGCTGCTGGTGCAATGCACTTACCAATAACCATACACTAGATATAGTGAATTAACCCATCAGATTTCTTCAAATGCTTTCAGACATTCATGTTATTCTGTCAACCCACCACAAATTATCCAAAACCATAGTGTACCTTCCTTTATTATTCTTCATGTCACTACTGGAAACAATTAAACATTATCCATCCTTCATTATCTATTCTATTTAAGTATTGGAAAGATCCCTTGTGCTCCTGTGGACTGTGAAATTTATCGTTTCTTTTATTTCTAGTTTAAACAGGTGAACATGTCATCAAAAGTTTTTTAAATACTTCACATGCACACATGTGGGCTCTTGTGAAATATGGCTAGATTTCTAGTGTTCTACTTACTTTTTGTCCCACGTAATTTTTTCTTGGAAGAAGTTGCTATAAAATTGTGTTGGTTATTATACCAGGAAGATCCCATAGTAGCTACAACTATATGACAAGTTTTATTATACCTGGAGAACTTATACGTATTGGCCCAGTCATTACTGAAGATGCTTTGTTTTTACAGCCACACCTCACTGTTAGCAAGGTCAAATATATTTCTTCCACAATATTCAATAATGTCTGGTATTATTAGATGTGATATCTAGGACATTTACAGTTGGCAGTCTGCAATGATTTCTAATACATCTGGAGGCTAAAAGGACTTTGTAATACTTGTTTTCCAGGCACTCGGGTGGAATTTTGGGGTGAACATTTGTAGAATGATAACACAAGAAACTAACCAAGATTATAATAAAACAAATGAGTACAAAGTAAAATATGGGATTTAATCTGAATGTTAGGATGTATATATGTGAAGTGAAACTATGAATACTGGTCTGAGAGGCATGATTGGAAGATATACTGGAAAAAGAATTATAGTTTTACACTGAAACTTTGAAGGAGCGAATGAATAAAGACAAAGTTTCTGGTGGCCAACCCACCTGACACACAGACTTTTGTGGGGCTATCAGTGAGTTAGAACTGAGAGGGTCAGTGGAGTTAAACAGATGACCCCCCAGCCCAGAGCCACAAGTTGCACCTTCATAGACAGGTGGGCCTTTTATCTCACAACATGCCTGCAGAGCAAGCCTGCCCAAAGCACTGACATACAGCTGGTTGTGTAAACCAAGGGCCCTACACAAGTCATTAAGATTGAATTACAAGAGAAGAGCAAGTACAGGTGGCAGTAACATGTCGGGTGTCCCTTTGAAGGTTGCACTGTAACTAACATATATCAAAATTAGATGTGTACACATCTATTGTAGGAGGACTACATACTTAAATGAAAAAAAAAAAGATATTTCCCGAGCTAAGTTCTCATAAGTTGAAGAAGCCCTAAATGCTTGTATCAGCATTAACCCCATTGTCTGATACTTCAATATCAATATATCTCTGCAGTGATACTTGCTACTCCAACCACTGTGGACATTAACGGTGAGTACTACAATTCGATAGCAATGCTACCATTGGTTAAAAAGCTCCGACATCAGCCTACCCAACTGGAGTTTCTAACAAGTGTTAACAAGTATCCCAGCCCAATACACCCCCCCCCAGAATAGCATCAGATTGTAATACCGATGCCAGGCTCAAACAGTTAAGTGGATGGAGACTTTCGTCCTGTGACAGTGGGAGAATTAGTGACAAATTGAGTATGACCAGTCCAAGGCAGCATAAGTGTTTTGTCAGATCTATACTCAGCTTGATAAACCTAAGGACTTGGCAAAAACAAGAGACATCATATGGCCAACAAGAGATGTACAGCCACCTTAGAAAGCCTGTTATTGTATATATGACAGCCAATTATTGGGTGAGTAGTGTAAAATGTGCGTCTTCTTTTTTCTTATAATCTTCATCAGTTTGAACACAGATATGACCTTGATTTTCAATTATCTGAAATAATTAGCACCAGTTTCTATTTTTGATTTTGTTTGTGAATGGTTATATACCACTTTACCAAAATGTTTTTTATACTTAACATAGTTACCTTAAAGTTAAATTTGTGATGTATGTGCAGGTGATATTTTATATGACATTACCCTTCATCATGTAACTTCATATAGTTTCCCACCATATTGTTTTGTCTGACAATTAAAGTACTGTGTATTCATTGTTACAAACTTTTTTATTACTTCTTTTCATTGTTACTGCAATGACACAGATGAAATACTGTGTAATTTCTTAGTTAATGAGTATTTTCATATTACACTTTTCCGGTTTGTATCATGCATGTGGTGTACCTTTATTAAAACGATGATATGTATTTAAAGCAATTTTTGTCTGTCTTGTGTTAAAAATTGTTTTGAGAATCTGGCTAAATCAATTTTGATTAAATTTTGTGGAGGAACTCGGATGAACCTCCTCAAATATCAAGCTTAAATGGATAAGTAAGTTGACAAATGGTTCGAGTTTGGCATTAACTTCAATTTCACCACTTTAAAGGCACAAATGGAATGGGGCAGCATATACTCTCATTTATAGCATTGATTTTTCAGACTGGCATTACCAGGCACCTTTGCTAGTTTATTATATATAAAGCATTGTTTTAAAGGTGTTATTTTCATAATGTATTTGTCCCTGATAAAGTATATTTTTCTAATATTATTGAAATATATAATCATTATTAAAGAGTTTTATGTCATATACTGATAGTTATTTTAAATCATTATTAGCTTGTAAATTTATTTGACCATTATTAAAAGTTTGTGTGTTTAACATGTCTACATATAATTAGTTCACTCTTTTTAACTTTTGTATTATATATATATTGTTACGACAGTGGGGGTCACGTGACGAGTATTCTAGAAGATTCGCTAGTGTGTTACGATAGCGGGGTCATGTGACGAATATTCTAGAAGATTCGCTAGTGTGTTGCGACAGCGGGAGTCAATTGACGCTGGTAGCACGTGTTGAGAGTCTTAGAAGTTTCTAGAACAGGCAGTATTATCGTATATAAGTGCGCTAGACAGTGAGAGAGAGCGACGGAGTCGAAGCAGTAGACGAGGCAGAGACGAAGGAGGCAGAGAGAAATAAAGACAGCGATTACGGTCGGCGGGTACTGAGGATAGCAGACATAGAGATCGGAACTATAGTTTGCGGGGACGGACAATTAAGTCTAAGCGCGATAGAAAGTGAGTCAATTGTTGTGAAT